TTTGAAAGTTTTTTTTCCCCTTTTAACACCTTCATTTAGAAACTGCATTTTAATTTAATTGTGTTATCTTTGTCTAATATTCCATTTTGTTTGATGATCTGAAATATTTAAGTGTGACAACAAAAAGAGGAAATCAGGAAGGCGGCAAACCCTACCGAGAAGCTGCGAGAAGATTCACCTATTGGGCTATTCTACTATGAGTATTAGGTGCACAAACAGGTCTAGCATGTTTGTAAGAGTCTGTAAAACAAAGTCTGGTATGTTACAAAAGTCCCTCCTACTTCCTTTTCCTAAACTCTTTTCCATGACTTCAATGAAAATGTCATCAACGAAAGGTAGGTAAGAAAACTGATAAGGATCTAGGAAAACAAACATGCCGTGTGCTAAGAATCCAAATAACCTTGCACTAGCCTCCTTAACAATGCAATCCCAGATGGCCGCCATGTTGAAACTACAGTGTGCAATGTTTTGTTTTGTTTTTTAAACAAAGATTTAGGGTCAGATTTACTAACACCTGCAGTAGTGCAAAGCCTTCTTTTTTAAAAAAGCTACTTGGATTTGCTAAAGAGGCACAGTGTCAGTTTTGCGACCCCTCTTCTGAGCAGGAGTATTTTTGGGGGCTGGTCTTGTGGCATATGTATTTATAAGAGCTGTGAGTTCAATGCCAAAACTCTCTGTCCTAAAAGTCTTCATTCAGTCCTCACTCTGGGTGTGGTGGTGTTCTGTGGTACAACATACTCCTATGTTGAAAAGTTTGCAACTGAAGTTAACTAAACTGAGATGTCTTTTTCTCAGCAGTGTGCAAACCACAAGCATCATCTCTGTTGAATCCAGTACAAAAATGTCTATTCCCCGTATGTGAAACTTTAGCTATTAATGCATCTATATTAGTGTATTAGTACACCTTTACTCATGTGTCAACGGAAGACCCACCATGAACAATCACTTGTGTATATGTATATTATACATAACTTTTTAAAAGCTGAAATTAACATATGATCTACTTCATTTATTCCAGATTTGGGAAATTCTCTTGCTATAGTAGTAATAATAAAGATTATCATCATAGCAAAATATTTCAAAATCAGAAAGGGAAAAAGTTAAAGTGGGAGTCAAGATGATTATCTGCTGCACTGTA